ATTATCTTCAGAAATGGCTGTAGAGGGGCCTGAATTTGTAATGTATTTCTCAGTCGATGGTATGCATGTTAGACATCTATATAGATTGCTTGGGAAATACTAATCCATTCCAGAGAAACTAATGTATTGACACAAAAGTGTCCTGTTAATTTTATGGTCAATCTGAACACAAAAACCCAAGACAAATGGATAGCACTTATCCTAAATAGGATACATGGTGATAGCTGACTCTTAGCATTTATCTTGAAGTCAGATGCTTTGTCTGTTTTTCAGAATGCAGTGACCAAAGGAAGCATTTAAATTAGATGCCCCCTTACTCTAGCCCTTGAATGTTCTGCAATACCAACCTTTAGCTCACACATCCAGAGAAAGTCCCTAAGACAACATGTATGCTCTCAGATGTTTAACCTTATGTGATAAAGCCAAAAAAAAAACCAAAAAAACAAAACCAAAACCAAAACCCAGAACAGAATTATTCAGTATTATACCAGAGTCCTAAGAGCTTAGCTGCCAATTGCTCTATTGCAGAAGTACTTGACATTAACCATAGTGCTAACCTGCAGTTTGATCTTCTGCCAACATACATGGACTCTCACACAGGTTCTTCTTTGGTGCACATGCTCGTTCGTAATTTATGCTCCCCAATCACAGAGATATATCTGTTCCAGTAGTCTGGCAGTGTTTTGGATAATCTTTCTTGTGTGAAGAATATGTGCAAGACGCTCATGTTGTCAGATCTAGGTCTGTCAGACACATCCCTAACAGCATCTGCTGACTCACTGGGTACATAAGAACAGCTGCAACTATGTTAAGCATTTCTAAGGCTGACCAGAGATCCAGGGGTGGCCAGGAAGGCTTTGTCATAGATATTTGCCTACACTAGGCTGTATCTTCGAGACTGCTACAGGGTCCTGGGTTCTGCTCAGTATTCCCAGCAGTCTGAACAGCTTTGAAACCATAGAGCAATTGGCCAATAGCTAGCAGATCATCTTATATCCAGAAAATTCTGCATCAGTCTGTTCTATGATAGAAGTTCTGAAGAGTAGGTTCCCACTGGTAAAAAGGATCAGCATTGTGCAAACGTCCTTTGCAGAAAGTGTAGAATTATTCACAGAAAAGTGTTTTTTTAAATCCTTCACATTAAATGGTGATTATTGTGGCTTTAGAAAGTCACCTAGCGTGTTCCAATATACTTTCCCAGACTTGTAAAATGCCCACTCTTCACTACTAAGGAAAGAAAATTGGAAAATTGAGAAAATTGTTTTTCTTGTTAAATAGATATGGTTATGAGTACTGCTGTGAGAACGATTTTTTTTTTCTCCCATTTGACTTGAAACAGATTTTCTTTCAGGTAAGGAGGAAAAGGTTGTTTCAAATTAAATGAAATCTTTTGTTCTCAGATTATCTAAATCCCCTATAAGCATTAGGCAATCTTGACATGAAAAGTCAGAACAATTTATTTAGAAAATATTGAAATTAATATTTTGATATTACTAAAACAAATTGCCTATTATTTTGGTTTTTTCTTTGGCTATAATTGTTAGTTCAGTTTGATCCAATTTAACAAGTCCTTTGGTTTCCTACCATAAAAACATTCTTAGCAAACCTGCAGAATCACAGGTTCAGAGAATCACAGAATATTAGGAGTTGGAAGGATCCTTGAAAGATCACCTAGTCCAAACTCCCTGCCAGAGCAGGATCACCTAGACTAGGTCACACAGGAATGTGTCCAGGCGGGTCTTGAATGTCACATTTCAGTGTAGAATTATTACCTAACTGAAGTTATGAGAGCAGCCTGTTCATAGTAGCTAGAGCTGCTACTATGGTGCAGTCCCATCGAAACAACAGTAGACAGGGAGTGGCAATTAAAACTAAGTTGTGAAGCAGACAAGATAAGCCATAAGGAGTAGAAAGGATCAGCGTGGAAAAGGGAGTTAGTCTATTGATTAGGAACTCCTGACTGCACAGTCCACGGTTTTCCCATTCCTGTTTAATATGATCATAAATTAGGCTGCATCCCAATAAGTTAAGGGGAAATCACTATCTGAAAAAGAGGCCAAGACGAAATATTAAAGTTCTTTGGGAAGGTGCAGAGGGATGGTAATCATTAAGTAAAGAGGCATAAGATTGAATTCAGTCAAGAAAGATGGAATATACAAATCCACTACAGATCTGGGCATCTTAGTCAGCTATCAAAAAACTACAATATGACATTCTCAATCATAGAGCTACCCATCAACCACTGACACAATGAGAAAGTGGGAAAACAGGAAGAATATTTAATAAAGGGCAGAAATTGAAGTGTGCATCCTCATAGCCCTAGCATAGCACTCAGGCAAATGGCAAGAGAGAAACTTTGGAGTAAAAAAATAAAAGACTTTGATGGAAGACTGGAAGAATGTACATATCTAAATCTAAACCTCTGTTTCTGAAAATCATCCAGCCATTTCAGAACACCGATGTCTTCACATTTGTCTAGGACTAAAACTCATTTTCCTTTTACAGCTCTCTCATTTCTTGTCTACTCAGACACAAACTGAAGTTGCATTAGCCAGACAAAATTCCTGAGAAAATACACACTCTAGTCTAGTGGGTCGGAGAATCATGCACAAGAGAAATATGCTAGATGCTAATCATCCTCCTGGATAATTTCTGCATTTTATTCATCTCTAGGATAAAACACACAAAGCAACCATGGAAGCCTTTATGGACCATTGCCACATGATACTTTTTGCAAAGTGTCTACCTCTCTGACTTCTTATAAAGCAATATTAGAGAATCATCTGTGTGACACCAGGTAGAAAACCCTTTGTGAGAGCACTGAACTCTGGGCAGTCTCCGAGACCCAGGCCTGAGTTCAGACTTCCTACAAATCCCACATAGACTTGTGGTAATCAGGGCCACAGCTCTTTTTCAGAATATGCTAGCTTTGAGTATCGACAGGGATACCCACAGGCATCCTCCTAGCAAGTGATGCAACACCAACTGCTACTGGGCTTTGGGTGCCATTATCTACAGCAGTTAGATGGGATGATATGAAGATTACATAGGCAATGAAACTGGAAAATCCTGAGCCTCTGACAGAAACAACTCTCAGAAAATCTTCACCCAGTATCTTAAGATAACGAACACAAACAAGGAATGTCTTGTATTCAGACAATCCAACCAGAAGTGTAATTCAGAGTATAATCTTTCCTTGTAAAGAAAGGAGAATTGAACAGTTGGTACGCTTTAGACAACCAACTGATTTTTTAAAAATACTATTTAAAAAAAAAACGAAATCCAGCATACTTAAGTCTCATCCCAAGGAAATCACTCTATTTTCTAAATTTATCTATGTTCAGTATAAACAAATTCTGTGTGCCACTATCTTCAAAACTCAACTGTAGTTCATCCTTGTTGTAGCCACTTCGTATTTTCATGAAGAAACAAAACTGAGAATAAAAATAAAAGAAATACTTTCATGCTTGTCATTTTAGGTAAAAAAAAAAAAAAAAAGAAATAAAAATCCTGCAACCAAATCTACTTTTTTTCCTTTCTGCTACACTGGTCTTGAACACAAACTAAGTTGCATTCTTCCCGAGCTTCCACCATATTATTTCAGCTACTATTTACCAGACAATACAAAAGTTAAAAACAGAAGGGTTAGGGGGAAACAGGAATATCTGAAAGATCACAGGATGTATTTAATTCAGAATCCCCCATTTCCCCCAAGAGTTTATCACCTCTCAGAGATGTGTCTAACTTAAAGCCATTGTTTCTGACCACCAGAACTGTCACTGATTCATAATGCATTAGCGCACAGTTTTTTTGAGAACTCCCGCTACACATAGTTTCATTTATCATGCTCACTTTCGTTCTTACTTTAAATTCCAAATTATTTCCAATAAATTATCTGGATGATACTTCAGCTATAGAATTTTAAAAAATTATTTTTATTTTTTAAGAAGTCAGGTGAACAGATGAACTACAATTCAAACACCAACTAAAAAACCAAACCCTAAGCACTAATAATTAGTACAGGGAATGGCTTATGCATTCCTTATTAGCGAAACATACCCTCCCGTCCCACGCCACCCTCAAAATTAACAATTTTCTACTTTTAAACAGATAAACCAGAACTATAATTTATCTAATAGCAAATATGAAAACCAGAATACCTTTTGCTTTTATCTCCAGATTTGCTGCCTTTTGTTTAATAATATAAACACACAGAGCAATTGTTAACAGATAACATGCAATTTGGAAGTTACCATTAACAGCTCAGTAGTCCTATTCAATAAGAAAGGGATTGCGTATCTGAAAAACCTGTTGCCTTTAAAAATGAATAGAATTAGTAACACAGTAATCTTCAGTGTATGGTGTTTGCATAAAATTAAATATGGGCCCAACCAAGGCAACTCTGTATTCACACGAGCAGTCCCATTCAAGTAACCAGCATCACTTGCGTAATAGCCTATAGTTTGCATTTTAAGTTAAGGCATTTTAATTTGGATCGTTAGTAGTACAACTGGTAGCTGATACACCTTTTATTTTATGTCTGTTGGAACACTTCTGCTAAATTCATAAGTTTCAGACTGCTTTAATAACAACTTGTAAATAAAAGAACACAGACAACCTTTTCCTCAGTAAATGTTTTACCCCATCACAAGGAGATTGATCTGGGAGTCACTTTATTGTGTAGCTTTTGTCAAAGCCTTATTTTTTTCCCCTAAAATAATAATCTGATAAAAACAAATGAAAACAATAAACAATACCACTATTTCATGCCTTGATAGCTGTATTTTTCCACTTCCAGTAATAATTTGAATTTGTGCTTTTAAACTCACTTAGGAAATGCCATAATCATAAATTGCACATTGCTCAGGACTATTTAACTACTTAATTAGCTACTAAAACACTGCAAAGGAGCTGACATCGTATTAGAAGAGAAGCAAAATGAGCCAAACTCCATGCATCTCCCCACCCTCTTACTCACAAGCGTTTGTGTAAGCCCTTACCTGCTGGGTAACGTTCGATAACTGGCCAGTTGTCCACCTGTAATGTGGCATTGCCACCACTTCTTGTGAAACGTACTACATGGTATTTTCCATCATTAATGATTGCGTTGATCTCTTCAATAGAGATGTCATCAGTTCCAACATTAAATTTAACTCCAATTTTTCCCTGGTGCTGCATATATATATATGAAAAAAAAAAAGAAAAAAAGAAAAAAAGAAAAAAAAAGAAAAAAAAGAGGAAGAAGAAAAAGAAGAACTAATTAGGGGTTGTTTTAGCAAGAAATAAAGACAGCATGTCATACAGGGAAAGATTTCTAACAACATCTTCCCTCCTCAGATGTAACTTCTGAAGACTTGCATGTGGCAGTGACAAGCCTTCTGACAGCTTAGTAAGTCCAGGACATCTCTTTGATGGATAATTGCTATTTCACTGAATTTAGGTCTCTCCTTTTCCAAGAGATATGAGGATTTTCTGGCTATAAAAGCCAAGGTCCAGCCCTGCATCTCCTTTTTTCCAAACCTCATTCATACTCTGAGTCTTCACAAATAATAACAAAGGAGGAAAGATTTTTTTTTCCTCTAATGGAGATTTTTTTGTATCATATTGTAGTAGCTCCAAATTAAGACAAGAACAGGCCAGCTGAGGAACAAGGACTTTTCTGATCAGAGCCAGAGAGGAGTGAAAGGCATTTGTGTCACAGGGATAATGTCCTGTTCCCACTAAGGACAGAGACTCTTGATTTTTTTGCTGGGATTTCCCTGTAAGATCCTGTGCCTGAGGGGTCAAGGGCTAAGGGAACTTTGCATGCCCATTCATACCATTTCCAGATGAGTATGATATTGGTGTGTTTTCATTCTTAGTGTCTTTTAATTATTAAGACATTCCTTCTAATGGGACATTTACATTTTAACAAAATCCTTTAATGTCTATTAAAAGTTTAAATTAAGGGCTTTATGTTTTGTTGTTTGTTGTTGGTTTTTTCCTCTTATGAAAATAAAATGTATTCCTGAATAAGGATATTTATTAAATTGAGGAGAAAAAAGAGTAAGTATAAGATTAGGGGCTTGTGAATAATAAGGGGTAATTCTATGTGAAATTCCATGTCATCGGTACTGGTACATTCTTCTTAAAAGTTAAAAAACTTCTTGAAGTTTTTACACTACTATATGAAACAGAATGAAACACTTCACTTCATACCTCTTGGTCATTCAGAATCAATTTTCCCAGAACCAGCTCCAACTCTCTCCGCATAGCTTTTGTGTCTGCTCCCTCTTTCTCTTACTACCCTGGCACCACTCCCTGTGGTGTGAATGCTAAAAGTATATCCTGCAGCTCTTCATCTCTGGAAGTCTCTCAAGTGAAGGATTCAGGAGTTCTTCCACTTTATTTTATTCTCTTTTTTGATACCTGACTTCATTTTCCAATAGTGCTTGCATATTCCAGTTACACAATTGAGCAGCTGCTGAACACTTCTGGGGAAAGTCCCTCAATGTTATGGCACTACTCTATCACCTTTTCAGCTATGATCTTTTTAAAACAATAAAAAGACCATTCCCTACCAAGATTTACAGAATGACTCTGAAAGGTTGGGTCTTTTTTATTTGCTCAGTTGCTCAAGTCATGTTCTGAACATTCCTCCTTTTTCCTTGTGGATTTTTTTAACATTTCTCTATGTCCTATTTTTCCATGCCTATAGGAGCACACACTCACCTTGTTTGGACTCTTGTCTGTTCTATTCTGCAGAACAATCTCCCAGTTAACTTGGGAGACTAAATGTTGCTCTATTTTATTTTAACTGGTTCAACTATGACTCAAAACAAATTTCACCCATTTTCTTCCCATAGATGCAGTAGCTTATTTGTTTTACCTGTTCCATTCATAAGCTTACCGTCTTTATAGAGAAATGTATAGAAATAAATATAATGTTGTCCTGGCTCTAAAGCAATCTCCTTTTTTGCTAATTTATGAAATGCAGAAATATGACATGTAATGATAATGGCATATGCACCTTTTCACAGTACTTTCAAGAAATCAAAGGCTTTGAGGATTTAAAATAAGCTAACTAATTTTACGGTGATTCATAATTATACTATTCATAACCTACACTTTACATACCTGTTTTCCTATTTGCTATATATATGTATATAATTTTAGATCAAAAAATGACAAGGAAAAAAAAGCACTTTTGAGTGAATAGGACAGGTGCAGGCAAAATGAACTGGTATAAAAGGCGAATATATCAGCAACTTTTCCAAAATAAGAGAATGTGGTGCTGCAGTGGTTACCAAGTTACCATTAGTAAGTGGCCAGGTATTGGCAAGTGAAATGAATGCTTTACAGCCTTGAAGGCAGACCTTTAGCCTTATTTGATAGATATATATTTCCGAGTGATAAAAAGCAAGTTTCCCTGACTTCTCTACATTGCACAGAAGTACTGTGCACAGATACCATACACGCAGCTGCAATAGCGAAGAATATCACCCTAATAGTTGACAACATACTATAATGATTTTTTGGCTCTATTTCTAACGTATTTGTGTAGCTGAGAACAGGAAAAACTCCATATTTAAAGGATACGTTTTGGGTTTTTTTTCACAGTTCTTCAGCACCTGTGGGCATTTATGTAACCCCCCATAAAACAAGGAAGCAAACCTTGAGATTCAAGTGTAAGTCTTTCTTTTTATTACATCTATATTTAAGTTTGACTTCTGAACATCACACTAAACATGATATTGACTACACTGCCATTGTGCATAGCCATTTACAATCATAAAAATTACGATGCAGAGACATGACAGCGCCTGGGCCCAAACCAATTATGACACCACCACAAAGCAGTAAGTCACCATGTAGCTGCTGAGTTGCAACAAGCACTTCTGTATGTAGATAATGGTTTTTTTAAGCCGTTGCATAATCGTGCAGTAGTTTGACTCACTGTACTCCTCTTTCACTGCAAGATAACTTAAATCACATTATTTTTCATTTTTCACTGGTTGAGACCAAGTGCACATAGAATTATTGTGGATCAGTTGATGTACAGTAACTTGTCAAGAAAAGCTGATCTCAGCCCTCACCCCTATGATAGTTAACATAATGGGCCTATAGCCTGTTAGAAAGAACTGCTTTTTATTTTTCCTTCTTCTTTTTGGAGCAACATGACAGTGAGAAAAGGGAGGAAACTGACAAAACTGAAGCATACTAAATTATTATTTCCACTTTGCCAGCTTCATTTGCACAGTGCAGTAGTAGAAATTTGCCTTTCTCACTTGTTCATTCATAATAACCTTAAAGTTATTCTTCCTATCAGAAACGTCCTCAGACAAATGCTGTATGAGAGGTTCCCTCTGCAGCACTATGATGACAGGCACTATAGAAATGTCTATGCATTACTAAGTACCGCAATAAGTCAACATTACTGTTGAATGATGTTATCCTTGCCTGTGACCTGAAATAGCACAGCATTTCAAGCTCATATTTCTAGGAGCTTATGTTTGCCCACTAGCAAAGACGATCATTTCAGAGCTCCCCTGGTAAAAAAAATCAACTCTTTTCACCGGGCCCATAGAAGTCCACTGTGCTGTTTACGGTTCTTAGCCTGTGTTTTATTGTTCTCAATCCACCCAGTTGTGAGAGAACACAGCAATGAAATAAATTCCTTTTCCTACTGTGCCTTTATTCAAGCTGAACCAGAAAGGCCACAGTAACAGAGTGGAGACATGTAGGAGATAGGAAAGTCCCAAACGTTTTTTCCAAGAGAGGCCAGAGACAGGACAAACCTTCAGGGGAGAAGTGAAGCATTTCAAGAAGCCACATATAAATGCTGATCTCTGTCTCTGGAAATTATTTTGAACCTAAAATCAGAAGGCACTGTGAATACTGCTACAACCATCACAGCACCAGCACTGCTCCCTGGAACAAAGCAGTGCAGGGATGTCCAATTTACCTACAGACAAGGTACTTGACTCTCTGACCCCCAACCAACAGCTCTTAGAAAAGCTGAACTTTTAGTTTTGAGGATGCTTTGGCCATCATCCTCTGTTTCTGAGGCCTGGATTACTTTCTCTGTACCCACACAGGCAGATAAGGTCATTTGTTGTTACCTAATGTACCCCTACATGCAATGTGCAATGTTAGCTTTGCCTACAGTTCAACCTCTGCTGTCCAGCCACTTCTAGGAGTCCAAGCTCACAGGGTGAGGATAAATATGTTAACAGCTTCAAAGAAGTTGGATAAAAGCAAGGGATACACATGTATAGCTCCAATCCTACATTCCTAATATGCTCTGAAACACTAGGATTTTTGATTGCTCAGATAGTATAGGCATGTGTGCATGACTGTGTGTATACCCATCATTTCAAAACATTTTGTCTTCAAAAGCAACTAAAAAAAATAATCTAACAACTCCACTGGAACATTTTCTGTTTTTATGAACTGTGTACTCTAAATACTTCTACCTTGGCCTTAACAGGCTTCTGACAAAGCACCGAGAATGCTGATGAACCTGAGAACCAAACGAGAAATGCTAAATGCAAATCAAGCCAACAGCTGACAATGCAATTTGTTCCCTGTTGGACCCTAGTCCAGTGCTACTGATCTGCCGACTCCAAATGCAGTAAAACCTATGCTAGTACAACATCTCTCTCTCTCTCTCTCCCCGCCCAAATAATAATATTTCCTATGGTATCAGCAAGTTTTTATTGCTCTCTGTAGTAATAATTCTGGCATCAGTCAAACATGACCGCGTGCAAATTTGGCACAACACAGTAGTTTTAGAAGAGACCACAGATAACCTAAGCTCATAATACTTACAACCTTTAACCACCTCCAAAGAAAAGTAATAATACTGTGACTCCCACAGGTGAACAAACAGAGGAAAAAAAATTAAAGCCTGCCAGCTTGCATCTTATAGTGTCAGTCCCTGAGGTACAACTTTCTAGTGAATGTGATAAAAAAGTCTTAAACTAACTGATGGTATACTTTGATTTTATTGAAGAATAAGTTTCTTGAGTTTTATTAAGAAAAATGAGATCATTTTCACTCAGAGGCTAATATTCTATATTATAGAAATGTATGCAAATTAAAACAATTTCTGGGTTTCTGAATGCTATAAGGAAGTGCATATGTGACAATACTACTGTTTGCCTCAGGAAGTGAGGGGAGGGATATGTAATGGACAGAAGATACATTTGAACTCCAAGATTAATTGCGTAACTACAAATGCTTTAGTCTAATGATCCATCAATATTTCCTATTACCAGCTAGTATCTTCCAGAGGAAATGTCTCCCGGGAAAGACAGAGAAAATATAAAATATCTGGGAGAGTTCTTTAAAGGAATCCATCTTTTATCTTCCCATTAAAGAAGTTAACTTTCTGGACATGGATTTTTTAATTCATATTTTCAGGTATTATGTCATTAACATAATAAATAGGTTTTTAGATATTTTTATTACTGTTTTTCTCTATGAGAAGTGATAAAACACTCAACCTAATTTTTATCAACAATAATCAAATTGGTGGTGAATACTCCAAGTGACAAAGTTGT